CTGGCCGGCCATGTGGCGAGGCTGAAGGGAGGAGCGGCAGCCGTGGCGTGGCGTGCCATGGCAGGGCTGTGGAGCGGGCAGCCGGCGCTGTGGGAGCGGCGGCCCGCCAAAGCACAACACCACGGCACCGGCGCGGCAGCGCCGCCGCCGCCGCACCCGACAGGATGAGGAAGTCCTCCACGCCGTCGCGGCAGGCCTCGTCGAAGAGCCACATGTACTGGCGTACCGCGTCGGCGGTGCCCTGGAACCACTCCTTGGTGGTGGTGGTCTGGCTGGCGGCCAGCACCTCCACAAAGCCGCGGCTGTTGTAGCCGCCGACGTTGGAGTTCTGCGGCAGGGGGCAGGCGCGGGGGCGGTGAGGGGGCATGGGAGCAAGCGGCTGGGGCTGGGGCTGGACAAGGCGGGGCCGAGGCGCGACGGGCAGAGGCACGAGTGGCGAGGCGAGTGGTGAAGCAGCAGGCGGCAGGCGGCAGGCGGCAGGCGGAGCAGGGGCAAGCAAGGCAGCAGGGGCAGGCAAGCAGGCGGCGGCGCACGTAGGCGGAGGAGAGGTGGCGGTTGAGTGAGGCGGAGTTGAACTGGGTGAGGCAGTAGATCTTGTTGACGCCTGCGGGGCAGGGGCGCATGGTGGGTGGTGTGTGGCGCGCGCAGGGGCCGGGCGCGCGAGCCGTCGCCTGGGCAGGGGACACGCCAGGCAGGAAGCCTCGCCCGCCCAGCCCTCCACGCCTGCCCGCTGCCTCGGCCCTCGCTTGCCCGCCGCTCCTGCCCCCTCGCGCAGCCGGCCCAGCGCCCACGCCCCCGATCCCCTCTTTTTGCCAGTGGACATGGGTCCACAGCACGCATCACACCGGCGCACGGCGGGCTAGCCCGCGCCACCCCGAGTTGGTGCAGCCCAGGCGCCGTCCGATGCCCACCTTGCACACACACACACACACACCTGAGTTGATGCAGTTGGAGACGGGAATGTCGATGAGGCGGTAGTTGGCGCCCAGGGGCACCGCGGGCTTGGCGCGCTTCTTGGTCAGCGGGTAGAGGCGGGAGCCGGCGCCGCCGCCAAGGATGATGCCCAGCACCGTCTGCGGCCAGACACGGGTGGGCGCGCGGCAGGCTCAGCAGCAGGGTTGCCACGCCGCCGGGCCGGGGCAGCCATCAACCAGGTCGCACGGCGGCCCCACGGCTGTGTCGTGACCACACACAGCAGCCGGCTGTGCGGCCAGCCGCAGCTGGCGACGCTCCCACCGGAGCGGTCAGCGAGGCTGGCTCCACGCAACCGTGTGAAGCGTGGCAAGGCTGCGCATCCCGGGCTGTTTCGGCTGCTCGCCTGCCCATCTGCAGCTGGCTGGCGCATGCCGCTGCGCCGTGTGGGCTGATGCGGCAGCGGGGTGCAGGCTGCGGCAGCGGGCGGGCGGCGGCGGCAAGCGCACCCGCGACATCTCCGTGGCACCAAACTCTGAGCCATTGGTGCTGACCGTGATTTTCTGGGCGTGGGCCTGTGTCTTGGCATCCACCTGAGCCACCGCCTGGGTGGGCTGGGCCACCTGCAGGAGCAGCCGGCCAAGGTGATTCGACACCTTGGCAGCACCCGGCAGGGCCCCACATGCCTGCGATCGGCACTCTTGGCGCACCTTGGGGCGAACAGTCTTGCGGCAAGGAGTCGGCACAGCCAGCTGCGACCCCCGCAGCGCGCTGGAGCGCGACGCCAAGGCTGCAGCAATGCGCAGGCGATAAGGGGGGTGAGCCAACGCGTGCCCTGGCGCCGCACATTGCCCTTCCCAGCAATGCCTAAAATGCCGGCCAACCCCCTTGCCTGCCGGCTGTGCGGTGAGCTCGGCGCAGCGCATGGTTCCCGCTACTGCAACCGCGCTGTGTGTGGAGCAGGCCCGCCGCTCAATTGACAGAACCGACAGATCAGCGAGGAGCGAATGCCGGCTGGGCCACACCGGCCCTCCAAGTGCTGATGGAGGCAGCACGGCTCAGCACAGCATGGTGCATCCCTGCTGCCGGCCCTGAGCCACCTGCAATCATTTTATGCAGTAAACCCGATGCTCCTGTGAGAATGCCGCTCCCTTAGCCCCTGCCGGGCTCCTGCCGGCACCTGCTGGCGGCGGGCGGGCAAGGCGGCAGCAACACCCAACTGGAGGCAACACCGGGCACAGCAGCTGCCAGCCAGCAACAAACTGTTTCATGCCATCCCCTTGCCCCATGTTCATTGCGACGCATCAGGCAGCCGGAACAGGGCCCGGGCATTGGCTGTGGTGATGCGCGCAGTCTGCTCTGGCGTCTCGCCGCGCGCCGCCGCCACCGCCGCCAGCACATGCGGCAGCAGCGCTGGCTCGTTGCGCTGGGGCCGCGACTTGCTGGGCGTGATGCTGCGGGGCGTCAGGTAGGGGCAGTCGGTCTCTATCAGCAGGCGATCATCTGCAGGGCAGGGACGAGGCATACCGCGAGAAGTGAAGAGGTGCACGGGGAGCGGGCACACGGGGCAAGCAAGGACCACGCAGGCACAGCAGAACGCGGCAAACGTTGTGGCATCGCTGCAGGGCGGAGACGCGGCGCGGCGCCAGCTGTGCGTGCCTGGGATGAGCGGGAGGAGGGCTGCCAGCTGGGCGCCGCCCCGCTCGGGCCGCTCGTCGCACACCCAACCCGTGATGCCGATGTGCAGCCCCAGCTCCAGACACGCCTCCAGCTCCTGCCGGCTGCCCGTGAAGCAGTGCACCACGCCGGGCACGGTGTGCCGGTGCGCCCTGCACCACCGGGCGCCGCAGTGCAGGGCACTCACGCCCCTCCCTCAGGGCTCGCCATCCCGCAAGCACACACACCCTGGCGCACCGCGGCCTCCCCAGCCCGATGCTCCTGTGCTCCGCCAGCAGGCCAGCGGGCCAGGTGCCACCAGCCCCCAATGCCCCGCCTTGCCCCTGGCCGGCCATGCGCCCCGCCGCACCGGTACCTGAGGATCTCGGCGAACCGCGGCCCCGCGTCGCGGCAGTGCATGAAGAGCGGCAGGCCCAGCTCCTCCGCGAGCTCCACCTGGGCGGCAAACCAGCGCTCCTGGGCGGCGGGCGGCGAGAAGTTGCGGTTGAAGTCCAGCCCCGCCTCGCCGACCGCCACGCACCGCGGGTCAGCCGCCAGCTGGCGCAGCGCGCTCAGCGTGGCCTCGCTGCAGTCCTGCGGGCGCCCAGCAGGCAGCCAGGGAAGGGGAGCCTCCCGCCTGTTAGGCTGGAGGCGCGCCTAGGCGAGGGCCACCAGCCTGCGTTTTCCTCCCTGCTTTCAGCCTGTGCCAACTACCTTGGCGTGGTGCGGGTGAACGCCTGCTGTGAAGTACAGGCTGTGCCGCCGACCCGCTGCAGAGTTGCACAGCTCCGCCGCCGCCGTCGCCGTGCGCACGCACGTGCCGGTGACGATGCAGGCTGCCACGCCCGCCCGCTCCGCCCGCTCCAGAACCGCCGCTCGATCCTGCGCCGGCAGAGGCAACCCCGCTCATCACCCATGCCGTGTGCTGCACCATCCATCACACCACATTCACCGCAACACGCTGCTCGCCTTTTCGAATGAGCGGTCCACTAAATTAGCACCAATGTCGATCGTGAGAGGTGCTTGCAGCAGGCAGCGCTCAACAAGTTGCCCTTGCGTGGGCCGGGTTCGAGGCTGCTGCTGCTGCGGTGCTGGCGCTGGCACTGGTGCTCGCAATGCTGAGGCGCCCTCCTGCCCTCGTACAGCCTCCGTGCTGCTGCTACCAGCTTCCCGCCCTGGCTGCGCTGCTGGCTGGACTTGCCGCCCGAGTCCCGCCGACCCTGATGCTGCCGCCGCCTCTGTTGCAGGACGCCGACGTCTAGATGGTGCCTCCCCGGAGCCTGAACTCATGTATCTATGACTTTCCGCACGAAGCTGAGCGCCGACACCGCCCTTGAGGAGCGCGATGCTGCGTTGCGAGATGAACATCTGCCAGTGGGTAGGTGGAGGCTCCCCTTTAGACTTCCTGGATCTTTTTCTGATCGGACGCAGTGAAACAACATGAATAAAGCAGAGGAGAATAAACCTGCTGTGATGGCCTGCTGGGCTCCTTCCTCCTGGCCTGTTGGTGGACCTGCGGCAATTCCATTTCCACGTCGATCACCATGTCGCTCGGCAGGGCTGTGCCCTGGGCCAGCTGGGCCGAATGGCGCCAAGTCGGCCTTTGGCTGCTGTCTGAGACGCCCGAGGAGGTGCAGCGGGGGCTGGACAGGGTGAGCGGGGACCCGCAGTCCGCACTGGGCACGCCGCCAGGCGCCATGCACGTCCTGGAGTGAGGCGTCACGGGCGCCGCCATTGCCGCCGCCGCCGCCAGCCCACTGCTGCCTGCTTCTTGCCTTGGCGGACGCAGGTGGTTGCATGGAGGACGCGCGGGCGTGTGCCTCTGGGTGTGGACAGCACCGCCTGCCTTGTGGAGGCCCGCCAGCACGACCGGGCCGCAGCGGGCGGCGACGGTAGTGCTGACGCGAGCGGCACCAGTGCGCCGCTGCCACCCGCCCACCTGGCGGCCAGCGAAAGCGAGCTGAGGCTGCAGTACGGGCTGGCGGTGGTGCGGATGGTCAACGGCATAGCCGACTCGTCGCAGCGAGGCCGCGTGGCGGCGTCTGTGGCAAGCTTGGCCGCGGTGGCAGGTGGGCGGGCCGGCGGCCGGGAGCGGGTCTTTGCGCGCGCTGGCCCCGTGCCAGCCTGCTGCTTTGCCTCCCACTGCTTGCTGCCTGAGACGTGCCTGGGGCTTTGCGCTCGCTGTCCCTGAGCTCCATGCTCGGCGTGGGCCGGCTGGATGCGCTGCTGCCTGCTCTCGCTCAACACTCCCGCTCACCCACCCGCCACTGCTCGCCCCGCAGGCCTGCCCCGCATCCTGGTGGACCTGCGCCACGAGGCCACACACAACGAGCTGCCCTCGCTGGCAGCCCTCAGGTGTGAACGGGGGCCGGCGCTGCGCGCAGCGACGCCCTGCACCCCTGCCTGCCCTCGCCCACGCTGCCGCGCACCCTTCCACAGTGCCACCCCCTGCCGGCCAGCCGCGCAGGCATGCATCCATGTAAGCAGCTCATCCGTGCCGCCGCTCACTCGTGGCTCCTGCCGCCTCTGCCGCCCCGTCGCTCGCTGTCGCAGGCTGGCCGCGCAGCACGGCCTGGCCTGGCTGCAGGCCAACTACTGGCAGCGGCAGAGCGACCACGTGCACGCGGCGGCCGACAGGGTCCAAGCCATGGTGCAGGCAAGCCGTGCGGCCTCCTGGGCCTGCGCTGCATGCTGGGAAAGCCGCACGCAGTTGCTGCTCGGCCTTCCCCTGGCAGCTCCTGCTGGGAGTTCCTGGGGAGGCTGGGAGGCGCTATGGCAGGCCTGGCGCTTGGCTTGCTCCGGTCGTCTGCGGCCCCAAGCTGCTGATGGCGCTGCCGCCCCCTCCCCTGCCCCCTGCAGGAGTACCTGCTGCTCCACCGGGCGGCGGCGGCCAAGGTGGCGGCCTCGGCGGCAGCAGCCGAGTCAGATGGCGACGACAGCGGGGAGGAGGAGGCGCAGGGCGGCAGCGCTCCGGGCGCGGCGGCGGCGGCAGCGGCCGCGGCAGCGGCCGCGCTCAGCACGGGGCGCAGGCGCGCGGGCGCGCCAGCTGCAGCCGCCTCTGCTGGCGGCGGCGGCGGCGGCGGCGGCGGGGCCGCTCTTAGCGCTTCCGCTGTGGGCGCAGGCGGCGCCTACCAGGCTGCGGATGCCAAGAAGCGGCGGCGGCAGCTGCTGGCGGAGCTCAGGTCTGCAGTGCCTCGCCCCGCGGCGGCGCTGCTGGCGGATGCACTGCTGGCAGCCACTGCCTCGCTGGCTGGCGCCAGCGACGCGGTGGCGGGCGGGGACGCCGAGGCAGCTGCAGGCAGGCCGCTGCAGGCGGCAGGCGGCACCGTGGGCGGCGCAGCTGCGGGGGATGCGGCTGTGGCAGACCGGGCACTGGCCGCCTGCATGGGACACCTGACGGGTCTGTGGCCCCAGCTGCCGCCGCTGCTGCTGCTTGGGGCTGTGACGCGGCTGGTGGCGGCGGCGGATGGAGCAGGGGCAGCAGAGGTGGCAGGCGGCGGCACTGCTGGCGAAAGCGAGGCCTCACTAGCGTCGCACCTCAGCTGGCTGCGCCGCCTGCTGCCCTGTGCCGGCGGCGGCCTGCTGGCTGCCTGCGGCAGCTGGAAGCCCAGCACAGACCTGCTGCGGCAGCTGCTGGCGGCAGCGCTGCCAGCCCAGGCCGCCGCGGCGCACCTGGCGGCGTGTCGGGCGTTGCAGCAGCCTGACGACAGCGGCAGCGGGGCCGGCGCCGGCGGCACCAGCCCGGCCGCAGAGGCGCTACAGCAGGCGGTCTCTCTGCTGCTTGCGTCTGCCAAGGCAACCCCCGGAGCGGCGGCGGCTGTGTCGGCTGCTGGCAGCCTGGTGAGCCTGGATCCGGCGGCAGCGGCGGCTGCCGACGCGGCGGCACCCCCTGGTGTCGACAGCGGCCCCCTGGAGCAGCTCACATCCGCAGCATGGCAGCAGCAAGACCTGCTGCAGCGCCTGCAGCAGCAGCAGCAGCAGGGGCCAGGCAGCGCGGCCGCCAAGCGTGCGGCTGGAGAGCAGCCGCGGGAGGCTGGGAGTGGCGGGGCGAAGCGGTGGCGGCGTGCTGCCAGCTGGCGACCGTGCGCGCTGGGCATGCTGCCCTGCGCAGCAGATCCCAACGGCCGACTGCCGCCGCTGGAGGCTCCGCCCCCGCTGCGCCTCCCGCCCGCCTTCCTGCAGCAGCAGGCTGCCGACACAGCTGCAGCCACCAGTGCAGCAGCAGCAGCAGCAGGGGCAGCGGCATGGGCGGGCGCGGGCGGCGGCTCCTCCCAGCAGCAGGCGGCCCTGGTGCGGGAGCAGCAGCAGCAGCTGGCAGAGGCGGCTGCGGCTCTGGATGCGGCGCCGGGCACCGCCAGGCCCTGGCCCGCAGTCGACCGCTTTGCTGCGGCTGCTGCCGCAACAGGCGAGGCCGAAAGCACGGCGGCGGAGCAGCAGGCAGCAGCTGGGGCGGTGCCGCCGCGCGTGCTGCTGCCGGCGCACTGCTCGCCCCTCATCTAGCCCTCGAGCTGCCGTGCGCTGCGCTGTCTAGGTTACACGGGATCAGGCAAGGGGGCAAGTTGGCAAGGGGGGCGGGTGTGTACAGTTCAAGGTACTGCTAGCAGTGGTTGCCGCGCTAGCGGAGCAGCGGCGAAGAGTCCCATGTAATCGACCCCACAAAAAAGATTCGCAAGACAGGGGGAGCGGGGGCTTGGGCTGGGGGGCGCCCGCGCCCGGCGGCGGGCGCCGGCGCAGGGCCGCAGCACGCGGGCATGCAAGCACAGGAGGCATGCCCTGCAGACGAAAATCGCAATCAAACGGGCAGACTGCGTGCCCGAGGGAGGGAGGTGCCCGGGGGAAGGGTGGGGCTGGAGGAGGCGTGGGCACCTGACAGGCCACAGAGAAAAGGACAGGCGGCCATCGGCCAGGGGTGGGGAAAAGACGATCTGCCGCCGCCGCCGCTGGGAACAGCGGGGCGTGCGGCGGGCGCATGTTGCTGCGGGGTGGGCAGGCATCTGTCCAGCGGGGGGGGCTGCTCCCGCGGCTACTGTGTGCAAAAAGACAATGCAAAGGCTTCTGACAGGGTGGGGCGGCGGAGCCCCGAGACCGAGGAAAATGAGGGGGGTCAGGATCCGGCAAACCAGGAAGGGGGGGATCAAATGGCGTCACGGCGCCTTACTGAGGGGTGGGGTGGCGGTTGGGGTGGGGCGAGCGCCGCAGGCTGGGGTGGGGCCGCTCGGTGCATTCGACACGCTAGCAAAGGGAGGGGTGGCGGAGCCGCCTGCGACGGCGGCCCGCGTGAGGGTGGTAGTAGCCGGCAACAAATACGAGGGCGGCGCCGTGCGGTGAAGGGGGGTCCAAGGGATGAAGACATGACTGACAAATGAGCGCCAGGGTAACTTGAAGAAAGAATTGAGGCAAGCAAGAGGGCGACCTGCCGCGGCGGCTTGGATGTTGGCCCCTGCGCGGCGGGGCGCCGGGTGGCCAGGGCAGGGTCGGTAGCGTTGGACCTCATTCGTTGCCTTTGCCCGCCCGCCAACACACTGCTGGAGGCGGCAAAGGGGGGTGGGGGGCGAGGGCGGGCGCGGGCGCCCGCCCCGCGCTCTCTCTTGTCGTTAAGAGCGCTCGCAAGGTGGGGCAGGTGTGGGTCGGCGGAGGGGAAAGCGTGTCGTGGGGTGCTGCTCTTTTGCGGTGCTAAAGACGTTGCTCGTTGGCGTTTCTGCTGGGACAGGGCAAAAAGGCCGGGGCGGTGGCAGCCGCTTGGGCAGCGGCCGCGCGTCGCCGGCTGGGCAGCGCCGGGGCTGGCGCTTGGGGCGGGCGCGCCGCCGCCTCAGAAGGCAAAGTTGAGGAGGTCTGCGGTGGGCATGAGGGCCAGCGCGTCATGCGCAATATCGGCGGGCGATGCGTCCAGGGGCGGCATGCCCATGGCCAGGTCGCCGCACAGGCCCACGCCCTCCTCGTCGTCGCTCAGGCTCACGTGGTCGCTGCCGCCGTCTGCGGGGCGGCAGGCGGGGGAGGGCAGGCAGGGGAGAGGGTGGGCTGGGGCGCCAGGGCGGGCTGGGCGTGGGAAGGGGGGAGGCGCGGCGACGGCGCGGGAAGGCAGGCAGGCAGGCGTGCGAGGGCGGGCGGAGCGGCGAGGGCGGGCGCGCGCAGCGCGGCGGCGGCGCACCCTGCTGGCCGCTGCACGCGGCGCCGGCGCTCTCGTGGCGCGACACCGAACCGCTGCTGGCCTTGGGCAGGAAGGCAGAGGCGGGCATGCCGCCGCCGCCGCCGCCGCCCTTGCTCAGCTCCACCCTGCGGGGCAGGCGCCGGGCGGCGAAAGAGTCAGCGCCGCAGCCCGCCCAGCCGCGCGCAAGCGCGCACGCGCCAGGCTGCCAGCCAGCGCACACGAGCCCAGAGCTGAGAGGCGCCGCACCTGAGGCGCTCATTCTCCATCTTGAGAGCGCGGTTCTCCATTTCCAGGCTCTTCATGTAAGCATTCTTGCGCTGGCGGCTGCAGGCGGGGCGGCAGCGGCAACAGCGGCGGCATGGTCGAGGAGCAGAAGCCAGACAAGCAGGCGGCAGTGTGGGCAGCGGCGCAAGGGTGCGCAGCCGCCTGGCGTCCAAAACCCTAACCGCCGCGCCCGCGCTCGGGGCCTGCCGCCGCCCCGGCGGCAGCGTGCCGCATCAGGTGCGGGAGCAGCAGGCGGGGGCCGGGCTGGGCAACAGCGGCTGGCTGCGAGCGCAGGCAAGCGTGGCCACGGAGCAGCGGCGCACCTGCGCTGCGCCGACTCGCGCCGCCGCTTCTTGATGCGCTCCGTCTGCTCCTCCACCTCCTCCTGGGACCTCACGCTGCGCTTGCCCATCAGCATGGGGGCCGGCACGGGCAGCGAGCCCGCAGCGGCTGCGGCCGCGGCCGCCACCTGCTGCTGCGCCGCCAGCATCTGCTGCTGCTGCTGCTGCTGCAGCATCGCCTGCTGGTACATCTGCGCGGCTGCGGGGTAGGCCTGCGGGTTCTGCATGATGGCAGCCTGGTGCTGCATCACGGCCTGGAACTGCAGCTGCTGCACGGGGTTGGCGGGGTTGGCGGGGGCCGCAATGGGCACCGCGGCCGGGGGCGCCACCGGCAGGACGCCCTGGGGGCCGGCCGGCACGCACAGGGCCTGCCCCATGACCACCGTGTTGCTGGCGTCGGCCGTGGGGGCCGCCGCGCAGCTGCTGACCGGCGAGGGCTTCTCGGCTGCTGGGGCGGGCGCGTTGTTGCCGCTGAACAGGGCCAGCAGGGCCAGGTCTGCGGCGAGGGCGGCAGGGCGCGCCGGCCGGTCAGCTGGGCAGCCCGGGAGCCGCGCAGAGGGCCCCTCATCTCGGCAGCCCCCGTCATGCCCCATGCCCTGAGTAACCGGCCCCTGCGCACCGTTGGCGTCCAGGTCTTCGGTTCCATGCTCAAACAGCACGTCCAGGTCCAGCGGAGCCTCCAACTTGAGGTCGGGCGGCTGGGCAGCGGGGCCACCGGCCGGTGGGGCCCGCACAGTGAACCTACACATGGCTGGGGGCTGCCTAGGGGCTCTGGGGTTCTCGAAAAGTGAGGAGCCGGCCGGCCGCCTAACAATTTGACATGCGTCATGCAATCCGGCCAGATCGGCAAGCGACTGCCGAGCCCTCCAGTACGCAGGTTTCGGCGCAAAAACAGGCCTAGAAGGTCAAGCAGAGGCATAAGAAGCGGCGGGAAGCGCCATATTCCCTGCCCGTCGCCCCACCCCCGCCGCCGCTGGCACTCCGCCGCTGGCGACAGCCGCCGCTCCTGCACCCGCTGCAGCTCTCACAGCCCAAAGTGCTGCCGCCACTTGGCCACAGAGGCGGGGTCGTAGGACGAGGGGGTGGCCACGGGCCCAGCTGTGCCTGGGCCGTCATCGGGAGCCGGCAGTTGACCAGAGCCGTCGCCGCCGCGCCCGCAATGCCACAGGCTCGCGTCGCCTTGCACCGCCTGGTCCGCCTGCTGCCCCTGCCGTTGCAGCGCCAGCCGCTGCGCATGCTGCAGCTTTACCTTGGACAGCGCGGTCCCCCCCTTGGGTTCCCCCTGCGGTGGCAGGGCAGCGGCAATCAATGCGGTGGAAGGGCAGCGGCAACAGCCATATGGCTGTGTACGCGGTGCGGCTGCCTGAAAGCATGGTCTGCGCGCTTGCCAGCGCCCACCTGCTGTGCCTGGGACGCCCTGCCGCTGCTACCCCTGGCGCTGCTGCCCCTGCCCGTGGCGCCGCCGCTGCTCAGGCGGGGCGGCACCAGCAGGAACGCGGCGGTGGGCAAGTCATCCTGCGTAACGCTGGGCGGGGCGGAGGGAGGCCGCGAGTAGGCCAGCCGCGGCGGCGGCCGCTGCTTGGAGGCGGTAGAGGCGCGGCGTGCTGCCGCGGCTGCCGCCGCCGCATCCTTGGGCCACCAGTCGGGGTAGACAGCGGGGGCTGGCTTGGCCCTGGCCCTGGGCAGCGGGGCGGCAGCCCGCGGTGTTGCTGCCGCCGCTGCTGCTGCTGTCGCTGCCGCAGGGTCGCACTCTCTGGGGGTCAGGCGCAGCGAGCGTGGAGCCGTGCTGCGGGCGGCCCCGCCGCCGGCAGCCGCCTGGCCCTGCATGGGGCACAAAGCCATGAGGAGCAAGGTGTGGCACACAGGCCTGAGGAGCGAACAGACCCTTGCTGGTTGCAAGCCACTGCCCCTCCAGGAGCATGAGCGGCTGCCTGGCCGTCTCAACCCACCGCGCGCCCGCCGCTGCCTCCGCCGCCGTGTCGGTTTGGGTCCAGCTCAGCCAGGAAGCCGCCCACGTCTGCCTCCAGAGACTGAAACTCGGAGCGGATGCGGGGCAGGGCCGCGCCCAGTGCCGCCTCGGCATGCAGGCGCCGGCTGGCCTCGTGCAGCTGCGCCAGCTCCAGCGCGGGCTGGCCGGGGAAGTCGCGCTGGAGGCAGAGCACGCCGTACTGCGGGCGGCACAGGCACGAGCAGACGCTCGCTGTGAGTGTGGTGATGGTGGCTGCTTCGGTTCCCAGCGAGCAGGCAGCGCCCAGCTCCGGTCTGCTGGAGGATGCCTCAACGCAGGCGGGGGCAATGCTTTTGGCTGCCTGGCAGGCATGCTGGGTGCCACTGGCGAGGAGCAAGGCAGGCGCAGCCGCCCTCACCAGCAGCGTGGCCTTGACCACCTCGGGCCACCGCTCAGCGTTGTGTGACAGCAGGTAGCCCCTCAGCGTGCGGTTGGTCAGCAGCTGCGCGTGCTGCACCGAGTCCTGGAACCAGCTGGGCCAGGGATGGTCGCCCGCGCGTGCCATGGCTGCGTGTGAAGGGGCGCAGCGCACTCTGGGCGATGGGAGACCCGACCGCCTGGCGGTCAACGGCGGGGTTGTTGCTGCCGCTGCCGGGCAAGCCCGGCCGGCTGGTGGCTGCAGACGACCTGGATTCCCAGATGGGGCGCTGCAACGGGCACCCGCCACGCTGCCAGGCCGAGAGCCAGGAGCACCGACAGGCTTCAGTCAACAGCAAGGCGCAGGCTCCGCGATGCCCGCAGAAAGGTCTGGCCGACTGCTGGAGCGGGACGCCGATGGCAAATTGGTGTCCCAAGGCCCTGAGGCGCCCAAACCACATGCAGCCAGCAGGTGGAAGGGAAGGGAGACGTGGCTTCATCTGTCGTGGCTCGCCGGCCTTCTCATGCGTTCTCTCCCAGGTCCGATCGTGCAGTGAGCCGGTTGGACGTGAGCCTGCGCGTGGCTAGTCACCGGCGCCCCCAGCCCCGAACCCTTCGCCTGGCGGCCCTCTGACAGCCTTTCGCGGCACCATGAGCGGCAAGGCGGTCATCAAGGCGGCCCAGGCAAGCGATATGTCCACTGCAGGGCCTGCCCGCAGCACCCGCCTCCCCCCCTGCCGGACTTGCTGGCCGCAGGCTCCGCAACAGCGTGCAGCAGCAAGCATGGCCGCAGAGCCGAGGGATACATGCGCCCCGCCAGCCAGCGGGCAGGCTGCAGCGGGGCTGCTGGCGCAGCGGGCCCACGCCGGGTGACGTCAGGTGCTGAAGGCGCCTTGCCGCGTGCTGGCTGCCTGCAGATGTTCACCAAGACCGGCCAGGCCAGCCGTGTCAGCGTGGTCAAGGAGATTGCCATTGGGCTGACCCTCGGCACCGCCCTGGGCCTCTACTGGCAGACGTGAGTGCGCTGGGGGCTGCAGGGAGCCCTCCGCGTGTGGGCGGGGCGGCACCTCCTGCACTGCGCAGCACCATGGCTGAAACCGCTTGCTGCTGCAGCACGGCTGAGCGCAGCAGGCTTTGCTGCTGCCCATGTTGCAATTGAGCCCCGCTGGGGCGCAACGTGCGGCCCCCCAGCTGGGACCTCTGCCCGCTGACTCACCATGCTTGGGCCCCCCTGCCCCCTCCCCCTGCCCTGCAGAATCCACTGGGACATGGCCAAGAAGGTGCGCTTGCCGGCTGACTGCGCTGCAGCCAGGAAACGCAGTCATGGACCACGGCCGCGCGTGCCGCCGTGCCTTGCTGTGCTGGTGGGAACGCCCTGAGCTGACTGCGACGGCCACCGCGCCGTGCCCATGCCTGCAGTGGGAGAACTTCTACAAGGCAGAGGAGCTGAAGCGCCAGGCGTAGGAGCCAGCCCTGCGCTGCCGTGCGCCGCGGACGCCTGGGCGACGCCGCCTGGCGGCTCGCCTGCCCCTTGCCCCACGCCGCAGCCGCGCCCGCTGCGCGGCACCCTCGCGGCTGAGCCGCGGGCCCTGTGCCCCAGCTTGCGCGCGCCCTCCCCTTGCCCCAAACACTGCCCAGAACTGCCGCATCACACAAGAGACTCGCACCGCGTCCTTGTTGCTTCGCTGCTAGTGTAACCCTTCCACCGTGTCGCTGGCATGGGGTGCGCCTGCTGGACGAGTGCTCAGCTGACAGCGGCAGCCAGGCTCCTGCTGGGGTGGCTGACTGGAGTGGAGCAGCGTCAGCGTGTTCTGAGCATCAGCACCGGGGGGCCTACATGCAGCAGCGCAGCAGGTCATGGCATGGCAGCGCTTCCAGGCACCCGCGCCGTCAGTCCAGGTAGGTCTTGAAGCTGCCCGCCAGCAGCAGCGAGCCCGGCAGCGGCCCCGCGCAGGGCGCCAGGTAGGTGATGGTCCCCTTGGCGGCATCCACGTCCTGCACGTAGATGAAGCCAGCCACGTTCACTGCGGTGTTGGGGGGAGGGAGGGGGCAGGGAACAGGGGGAGGAACGGAGCTGAGTTGGGCGGGGCTGAGCTCGGGAGGGGTGGGGTGGGTGATGAGGGTGAGGTCGGGTGGATGGCAGCAGGGCTGGTGCCGCCAGGAGGGCTGTGGAGAGCGGCGGCATGAGGCAGGTAGAGGAGCGGGGCGGCAGCCCTGCAAGCACACATGCACGCGGCGCGTCCCCGCCGGGATGTGCGCCCGCGCCGCCTGGCCCCTGCAGCCCCGCCCGCCGCCCCACGCACCCGACAGCAGCAGCTCGGGCTGGGGAGCGTGGCTGACAGCCAGCAGCGTGTAGAGCAGCTCTTGGGGGTTGGTGATGCGGCTGAGCTTCAGCGGGTCGGCCACAGACGCCGCGCCTGCGCACACGCGGGCCGGGGCAGGGCAGGCGGCGAGGTGCGCGGCTCAGCATCATGCAGACGCTACCAAACAGCGCCGCCGGCGCCACCGGCAGCTCGGCAAGCGCTCACCGATGGGCAGCGCGGAGGAGGGCGCCCGCGGGCCGCCGCCGACCCGATACACCTGCAGGTCTTCAAACCGCGCCGTCTGGCTGGCGGGGCTGAGCTCCTGCAGGGCAGGCAGGAGGGCCGTGGCGGTGGTGGGGCCGCGGCCACGACGTGCTGCTCGCGCAGAACGAGGCAGGCGGTGAGTGGGCATCGGCCCACCCACGCCCCCCTCCTCCCAGCGACAGGCAGCCCATCCCCACCGTGGTGCATGAACACACACCGCACCCACCTTTCTATTGCCGTAAAAGTACTCCTCCACCCGCACTTTGCGCGCCTGCTGCCGCAGCTCCCGGGACCGCACCACCACGCCGCCAGACCGCGGCAGCTTGAGCACCTGTGGGCACACAGGCGGCGGCGGCGTTGGCATGGCAGCGAGGGACCACCAGAGGCAGGGCAGGGATGCGGCGCCCGGGGATCCAGCAGGTGCGGGAAGAAAGCAGGTGCCTGCCGGGGTGTTTGCCCGGCTGGGTCCCGCCGGTGACACCAACCCTGCCCTGCCCGCCCTGACGCACACACCTGGATGACGGGGTCTGTTTTCTTGAGGTCTGTGCTGAGCTGGCTGTACAGCCGCTCATCCCCCACCACCAGCACCACCCCACACTTGAGCGCCTGCAGGCGGCGCAGCAGGCGCAGCAGGCGCAGCAGGCGCAGCGAGATAAGAGGCAGTGGAGGCACGGTACGGGACATGCCAGACTTGGATGCTTGCTGTGGCTGGCGGTCTGCACAGCAACACAGGCATCTTTCTTGCCTGCACCGTGTGCTTCAGCAGCTCGTAGCCCAGCTCCACAATCCAGCCCATGCTGTTCACAAACAGGCCCGACGCCCGCACCTGCGGGGCAGAGGCAGGGTGCACCCAGGGTGGGTGTGCCGGCGCAGCAGGTGTGGGCAGTACACACGCAAGAGGTGTGCGGGCAGCATTGAAGGGGCAGCGCCGCTGCAACATGGGCCCCCACCTGCGCATCGCTCTGCGCCCGCAGCTCCAGCACATGCGCTAGCCGCTCCACCAGGTGTCGGTACAGGTCGGGGTTGTCTGCAGGAAGGGTGGTGGCGGTGGTGGCGGTGGCGGTGGCGGTGGTGGTGGTGGTGGTGGTGGTATGTGGGCCCAGCCAGGCAGGCAGGGCAGGAGCGGGCAGGGCAGGCAGCCCATGCAGGTCGCCGCCGCCGCCGCCTCCACGCATGGGCTCGGGGCAGGGGTCACCACCAGGCCGCCCCTGCCCAGCCCAGCCAGCGTCAGCCAGCGCCGTGCCCTGCGCCGCGCCCGACCTGAGGGCGAGGGTGTGCCTGTGTAGTAGACCAGCGGCGCATCCGTGGGCAGACCATCCTCGATGTCCACCGGGGCCTCCACTGCAGCAGGGCAGGCAGGCAGGCAGGCAGGCAGCAGCTAAGCAGCAGCGCCAGGCAGCAGCAGCGGCTATACGGCCACGCTGCCAAGCCAGCAGCACAAGCCCTTCGCCGCGCAGCGCCCGCAGCGCCCGCGCCTCACCTGGTGTGGCGGCGATGCACCCTGGCACTGTGATGCTGCCCTGGCCGATGTCCATGTCGGCAAAGGTGGGGGCCCACCCCGCCCGCACAGCGTAGTTGAGCAGAATCTTGCACAGGCTGCTCTTGCCCACGTCTGGCGGGGCAGGGGAGGGGCGAGCGGGGGCACGGGCAGCGGGTGGGGTGAGCGGGCGAATGAGGTGGGCAAGCACGCCATGGGTGCGGGCAAAGAAGGAGCAGGCAGGCGCCCAAGGGAGACGCCCCAGCCGGCGCCGCGCTGCGCTCACCGGTGGGCCCCACCACAAACGTGCGCGGCCCCTCCCCCTTGGCCTTGAGCGCCTCCTGCCGCCGCGCATCCAGCACGTCGTGAATGTTGAGGTAGTGAGGCATGGGGGTCTCCTCTGAGGTGTACCTGCAAGCGGCGACGGCAGGAGCAGGGGGGCAGGCAGCAGCGGCGCCGGCTCAGCACGGGGGTGGCGGCCGGGGACGAGGGGCGTGGCAGCCAGGGAGCAGCTTGCCTCGCCGCCCCAGCGGGAAGCAGGGAGGCAGGGAGGCGCATGCGCAGGGCGGGGCATGCAAGCCTGCAGGCAGCGCAGGCAGCGCCGGCCTGGATGTGCGGGCAGCGGTACCGGCAGCCCGAGCATGCGTGGCGCCCCGCCCCTCACATGATGTCTGGCTGCCCCTCCATCGCCAGCGTGCACCCCTGCCAGGAGTAGACGGCCACCTTCTGGCCGCCGATGGTCACCCGCTCCCCCAGGTCCAGCGCCGTGCCAAACACCTCCGCCTGCCCCGACACCAGCTGCAGGGGCGCGGGGCGTGGCGCTCAGGGCTTGAGCTCGCATGTTTGGGACGTGGGTGCCTGCCAGCGCCGCCCCTGTGCTAAACGACTGTGTGCTGCTCGGCGAGCCGCGGCGGGGCTCTCCCCCGCGGGCCGCCAGCTCACCTGCAGGTGCACCTGCTTGCCCCAGTCCACCTCCATGCGCAGCTCATGGTTCTGCAGGGGGCGGGAGGCCACTGGCAAATGGGAACTGGCCGCAGCAGAAGCGCCGCCGTCGCCAGCACCCCGCCACCGCCGCCGCTCACCGCTTCTAGTGTGATTTGCTGAGGGCCGCTGCCGCCGTCTCCGTCCATCTTGCTGCTTGACGCTGCTCTGAGTACGCCTGAATTGCGCCGGCAGGCAAGATGGCGACGGGCAGTGGCAACTCGAGGGCGGGGCAGCGCTGCTGAAGATGGAGCGGCGATCGCAGATGGCATGAATAACGGGGCAGGCGGCTCTCCAGAGGCTCCACATGCAGGAGGGGGCTGTACAGTTTTGGGTACGGCACTGACTTTCGGCAGGGTGCAACGGAGGCCCAGCTGAAGAGTTTCTGGAAGCACCCTGGTGTGCAGCGCTCACTCGAAGCTGTTGCAGACGGCAGCTCGAACAACGACACTGTCCCTTGCCGGCATGCATCACATGCCCCGCCAACCTCCCGTTTGTTTTCCTTCAGGGTGCAAGCCTTGCAAACACAGGTTGCCACATGGTTCCAATCAACCAAGCACAGCAGTTCACTCTGGCAGCTCTGGCACCTCTGCCTCGCTGCCCTCGGCAGGAGCCTCTCCCAACAGCCGCAGCGGCTCGCTCTTGCTGGGGGCTGTCACCACCACTTCAGCTGAAAAGTCCGCCACCTCTTCCTCGCCCACGACCTCGCCAGCAGCGCAGTTCAGCGGGGCACCCGCCCCAGCCTCCTTCCCGCCCGCTGCAGGAATGCCGTCGATGTGCTGGGCAGGGCTGGCAGCGTCGGCTGCAACCTTTGCATCCAGCTGCTCGCCGCCGTCCGCAGCAGGTGTGGCTGCTGGTGGGCTGGCGGGAGCTGCAATCTCTGCCTCTGGCTCCTCTGCCGCCCTGAACACATCGGCTGCACCAATCTCCTCCTCCACCACCTCCTCCTCTGCCTCTGCTGGTGCAACAGGCTTCTCCTCCACAGCCTCTCCCGCCACGGCCGGTGCCTCCCCCACTGTCTCCTCTGCGGGGGCAAGCTCTGCCTCCTCCGCTGCCTCCTCAGCAGCAGCGGGTGCCTCCTGCACTGCCTCCTCCACAGCAGTAGGCTCCTGCTCCACTTCCTCCGCTGCTGCGGGAGGCTCTGCTGCATTGGCAGGCGCCTGCTCCGCCACAACAGGCTCTGCCTCCTCCGCCTCTGGAGCATCCTGTGGTGCAGCAGGCTCTGCTGCCTCAGCGTCCTGTGCTGCGGCAGGCTCCGCTGCCTCTGGCTCCTCTGCTGCGGCACACAGCACAGATTCTGCAGTCACAGGCTCTGCCTCCTGTCCTGCAGCTGCCTCGACGGCCGCCTCCACCTCTGCCGCGGCAGCAGCAGGAGAGGTGGAAGCATCCGTCTGCACCTGGCTACCGCTGCTCTCTGGACGCGGCGTGGCCTCTGCTTCGGCGCAGGCATCAACAGTATCAGGAAGGCTGTCCTCTGGCAGGGCGGCGGTGGCGGCGGCGACGAGGCTGCCGGCAGCTGGCGGGGCGGCGGCTGGCAGCGACACGGCTGTCGCCTCCTCCCTGCTGCTGCTGCTCCCAGCTCCATTGATGGTGGGCTGCCCGCTCTCCTGCCCGTCTGCCGATCCTGCGTCCACCTGTAAGCGGCAAAAAGTGTCGGTGGTTCGACTCCACGTCCCGAGCGAGCCGCTCGCATCAGTTCCTTTCAAACCGATCCCTTAATTCACTCACCACGGCCACAAGCTCCGCTGCCAAAAACTTCAGCGCCTCGGCTGGAGTGGGTTTCTTGTTGGAGCTGGAGAGCACGAGTTTCGTCAGGCACTTTGCAATTGTGGGCCCCACGTCCTGCAGCAGCGCCTTGAGGGCCGCCAGCCGCTCCTGCACCTCGAGCGTGGTGAGTGCAGCGGTGACCATGTGACCGGCAATGTTTGACCGGGCGGCGAGAAGCAACGGTGTGGCCCCAACAGCACCTGGTGCTCAAGGGGACAGCATTGATCGAGCAAACGCCGGACGGGCTACGGGCCTCATGCAGAAGGAGGCCACAGCACGCACGCCATGCCGCCCATTGGCAGCACGCCACCGCCATCGCCCTCTGTGTTGATTCATGGTGGATCCAGAGTTTGCAGGCAGCACGAATAATTGGAGAACGAATCGGGAAAATGCAGTGAATAACAGTAACATCAATGTGTAGACAGAGAGGTGGGGTAGCAGAGAGCGGGGCAGCAGAGAGCGGGGCAGCAGAGAGCGGGAAACATGAGCGCAGCGGACGCACGACATCTCTCACGGCCACCAGCGCGGGCAGCATCAGCGAGCCTTGTCAGTAGAGAGACAGGGAGTTCAGCCAGCGCCGCCGCAGGGAGGCGATCGTGTAGTCGAAGGCGCGGCCGCCCAGGTGCCGCTCCCAGCTGAAGGCCTCTTTGTACCGCACCACGCCCTCCAGCAGCTCCCTGTACTGCTCATCAGTCACGCTGCGCGCATGGAGGCCAGGAGCAGGGCGGTGAGGAGTGGAAGGAGTGGCAGACACATGCGGCAGGCACAGCAGGCACAGCAGGCACAGCAACGGCAGCGGCACCAGGCGTGCGCACACCTTCGCAGGGTCTCCCGCAGCTGAGGCAGGTCCTCGTTGCTCAGGCGCAGGCTGAAGGTCTCGTAGGGCAGGACCTGCGGGCATGGATCGGGTGATGTGGACGGGAGAGCGCCATGGGCCTTGCGCACGCAACCATGGCGGGCAGCTGGAGCAGCAGGCGCCTCCACCAGGGGCCCGCCGCAGGGCCGCCACGCCAAGCTGGCCGCAGTGCGGCATCAAGCCAGCCATGCATCCAACCACCCACCTCCTCGTACGGTTGAAACACATGCTCCTGGATCACCACCGGCACACAGCCGCCCAGGATCGACTGATGCAGCCGCATGCCTGCACGGCGTCAGCGGCAGCAGCCAGCCTCGACAAGTGAGCGACGCAGACCCGGGCCCAGCCCACCACCGCCAGCCTGCCGGCCCACTCACCAAAGCCGTACCCCCAGGGCGCCAGGCAGAACTTGGCTTCCCGGAACCCAGCTGGGTAGTTGTTGACGTATCCCCCAGAAAACTGCGGTTGCTTGCAGGCAGCGCCGGGACGCGGCGGCGGCGAGTGGCAAGGGTAGCAGGGCAACAGCTCGCTGGCAGCTGCCCCACAGCAGCCTGCCGAGTGCACTTGGCAGCGTGCCTGCTGCCGCCGCATGGCTCACACTGAACTCTGGGTCGTTCCACTGTGCCACCAGCTCCGAGAGAATCAACCGCGTCCTGCCCCTGCACACACACACACACACACATTACAATACACCAAGGGAGCGAGTGTGGGCCAAGGTGAGCGCGGTAGGCGGCAGGCGGCTGCGATCGTGTGGCATGGATGGCCGGTGCATGCCAGACAGAGAGCCCAGCTTGCCCTACTCACGAATACACATTGTCGTCGGTGCGGATGCTGCCGGCAAAGAAGAAGAGCCTGCAGGATGAAGGGGCAGGCATGAGGCCGACAAGCAACAGCATCCGCACATGAAAGCAGCAGGCCATGGTGCCATGCCTGTGCGCCCCAACCGGCAGCCAACCAGCCAGCCCAGGGCAGCGACAGCGGGGCGCCGGTGCCAGCCTTGGGCAGCAGGGTGCCTCTCCGCCTCCTCTGCTTGCTTGCCTCTTCTTCTCCCCCAGGTGCTCCTCAGCCGTCATGTGGCGAGTGGCGTTGTAGAATCGGTTCCTTTCCTTGTCGTGCGGCACCGCCACAATGTCCCTCAGCGGGTTGTAGCACCCAAACTCTGCGTGCGCAGCATTCCAGCAGGCCCGGCAGGCACATTGGGCCGAGGCGTGGTGGGTGGGAGGCTTGGTGACGACCAGCCCAAGTGCCGGCCTTGCTGCCCCCCCCCCCACC